TTTTTATCAGATGTTATTGTTTACTTATTATGTTATTCAATTTGTTATTGTTAACTTATTGTATTATTCAAATGTTATTTATTTATTTATTTTGATCAAATATTTGTTAAATGTACACCACAATATAATAATAGTGATTATGATTTATGTTATGACATATTTTATAAATATTTTCAAATTAAAGAGTGGAAAGGTAAAATTGAAAATTAATTTATTTTCATACGTCAGCTCTGTGTAGTTATCAAACAGTTTAGTTCAATTCAGTACTTAAATTGTAGTTATCAAACAGTTTAGTTCAATTCAATACTTAAATTTCAATATATACCAAACAATTCACAAATTCAACATTTAGATTTTAGACTTTAACTTTTAGTTTTCATACATCAGTTTTCAATTTTATCAAACACCATCATAGTCAAATTATTGACTTAGTCCCTTAGGAGTTTGTTGAATAGTCCTTATTTTTAGGAGTTTGTTGAGTCTGTTTTTATTGNAAACTTTAACTTTTAATTTTCATACATCAGTTTTCAGTTTTATCAAACACCATCATAGTCAAATTACTGACTTAGTCCCCTAGGAGTTTGTTGAATAGTCCTTATTTTTAGGAGTTTGTTGAGTCTGTTTTTATTGTTCCAGTATTGGCTAGTGTTAGCCTAGTTTGTAGGAGTTAGTGGTCCAGTTTAGTTGCTATTTTTTTGGTGTTTTCTGTTAATGTTAAAACCTATTTATATAGACCATTTATCTATTAAAATAAGACATGTTTTAACCTCTAAGTCTTACACTTTTTTCTCTTACCCATCAGTTTCGGTCCTTTAGATTGTAACATTAAGTAATGTTGATGGGATCAAATTAAGGTGACATTACTTTTTCTTTTCATCTTAGGAGAAAAATTATCAATAAAAAAGAGTGGTAAATGAAAAAATATTGAATGAAACCGTTACACTACGTTAACAATATCACGTGGTATAACCGTCCCCGTCAATAAATAAACAAGTCAGCAAGTGAACCTTACTAAAACTCATAAACGCTTAGTCATGTAATACATAACCATCTACATGATAGGAAGTGNGAAACCGTTACACTACGTTAACAATATCACGTGGTATAACCGTCCCCGTCAATAAATAAACAAGTCAGCAAGTGAACCTTATTAAAACTCATAAACGCTTAGTCATGTAATACATAACCATCTACATGATAGGAAGTGAGCATCATTTTATACATTTTATTCTTTTCTAATGATTCAGGATGATACTCATTGTAATAATGATTAAGGAAGTTCAACCTTGTTAATAAAGGCCTGCATTATTTTTTTTTTTTTTGGGGTCCTCGTACTCTATTATCAGAGATTAGGGGATGTAATATTTGAACTTGCGATTTTAAAGTTTAATAATGAACGGTGATCATTAAACCAATCGTTAACCTCCATTACTTGAGAAACCAAAAAATTACTTANTGGGGTCCTCGTACTCTATTATCGGAGATTAGGGGATGTAATATTTGAACTTGCGATTTTAAGGTTTAATAATGAACAGTGATCATTAAACCAATCGTTAACCTCCATTACTTGAGAAACCAAAAAATTACTTAAAGAAAAGTGTCTAGAATTGCGCCCTCAAATGATGGAAATCGAATACTTTAACCTTTCTTTGAAGGTATAATGTGAAAGGTCGATGGGTGGTGTGGTAAGAGGAAGAGTGGAAGACTAATTAAAAGGTATATATTCTGTCCATCATAGGGTACTTTTGCGCTTTCTTGACCGACTCAGACATGAGTAAGTAAAGCTGTTTTTCCAAGAGGAAAAGAGTAATGAAGCTGTCTTNATATATTCTGTCCATCATAGGGTACCTTTGCGCTTTCTTGACCGACTCAGACATGAGTAAGTAAAGCTGTTTTTCCAAGAGGAAAAGAGTAATGAAGCTGTCTTGACCGACTCACGCTTATAACTGGTTCTTATGAAACTCAGAAAACGTTGTGCACAAGCATTTAATAGTGTCTATTCCACTATTGATACAATGACACTAACACAATATCAATCTAACACGCCATAAATAAAAAATGACACGAAGTGGAAAAACTAACAATAAATTGGTCATGTTACTATCAAAACACGAATAACCTTTTNAGCTCAGAAAACGTTGTGCACAAGCATTTAATAGTGTCTATTCCACTATTGATACAATGACACTATCACAATATCAATCTAACACGCCATAAATAAAAAATGACACGATGTGGAAAAACTAACAATAAATTGGTCATGTTACTATCAAAACACGAATAACCTTTTAGTTGGTATTGTGAAAAATCTTCTTCTTTTTTTTTTTTTTTTCATTTTTCATTTTGTTATCTAATATTTTATGGACCGTTATAAAATTAGATAACTTTGTATTATCGTAAAAATATATTGATACAATCACGATCCGACTCTAAATCACACTGAGTTGGAATGACATAGCTTGAGTCTATTGACAGTCGTACTAGCATTTACTGTTAAGTTGTTCAGAAANCGTAAAAATATATTGATACAATCACGATCCGACTCTAAATCACACTGAGTTGAAATGGCATAGCTTGAGTCTATTGACAGTCGTACTAGCATTTACTGTTAAGTTGTTCAGAAATTTCAAGAATAAAAGCCTAGAAAACTCCAGGAAGATGATGTGAGACCAAACCCAGCTTTGTTCCTGAATCTAGCAAAATAACACAAATTAAGTTGGTTTAGCTTTAGCAGAAAATAGAAAAGAAACAACCAAGAAAAGTAGCTCAACCAACCAATCGTTAGAAGAAGAACACCCCCCCCCCCCCCCCCCCCCC